AACATAGCTGGCAAAAAGTGCAGTGTGATCCGCGATAACTTGCTAATGGATAAAGATGCTGTGATGGACACCAGAACCAAAGGTGGCGACAGCAAATCTATCTGTATTGGGAAGACTGCAAAAGCACTCATCTTCCTCATGGGCAAGAAGGGAGTCCATGGAGGCGCTCTTAATAAGAAGATGCATGACTTGATAGCCAGCATGAAAGCAAAAGGCAGCTAAAGCCAGACTTGCAGCTCCATCACTTTTCTCCTGGCTCAAGGATGTGGGGGAATTATCGTTAGCGTAAAATAAAAGGCGTTTACCCAGCTTTCCCTTGTATCTTTTGTGAGGTGGGATGGGATTTGTCTGTTGCTCTAAATGAAACTGGTTTCCTTGGGGAAAGAGCAGACCTGGGGTTGTTGTTTAAAACTATCTCTAGAAGGCAGCTTCTCCAGCTCAGTATGAATTGTTGTACTAAACTAGAGATGGGAAGGGTAAGATAGAGAAGAAGGTACATGGTGATCTTGCTAGCCCCTGTGTTGCCACTTGGACTAAAAGGGTTTGGCACAGTCCTCATGTCGTTTAAAGATTTCGGGTACACAGAATCAGGGAGAGCTGGCTGGCATCAAATGGCATGGTGGTTGAGAGTGTTGGACTAGGACCTGCAACAACCTTGTTCAAACCCCTGCTCTGCCATGGAAGAAGGCATTCATTATTAGTGACTTTATTTTTTAATTCTATCACTGGCCAATTAGTTGCCAGAATAATTCCCCTGCCTCCTCGTTAGCTATTCTGGCAAAGTGCACAACTCTAAGTTCTGTCTCTGCAGACTACAAACTGAAGGAAAGGTATCATCATTACTCTTCCGCCTTCTTTGAAAAGTGATACTTCTAACTTGTTTTCCCTGTTTCGGCAAAAGAAAATCTCATTCATTGGTGTTTCACAGCCCCCAAGACAAACAGCAGCAAGCATAAGAAAACAAAACAAAACCCCACATGTGGCTCCCTGACGAAATTTAGAAACTAAAATGTGCATGTGTATATGTACACACACACACAAAAATGGGCCCAGAGAACTCCAAAGAATTTCAGTTCCAGAACTGGTATTCCAAATCTGTGACTTTTATGGTAGGCTCTGATTTATTCTGTAACGGGTTTGCACACAGTTTAAATGAAAGGAAGGCTTTGGAGTTCTGTGCAACACTTCTTTAAGGTCTGAACATTTTTGAGAATATATGAGGCACTTAGCCAAGGCAAACTGAAGGTCAACAGTGGACAAGCCTAAGTATACTAATAACAAACGGGGGGGGATTGGGGGCAGTAGCGGCAGTGGGTAGCTCAGAAATGTGAGTTGTGTGGATTCCATTCCCACCCCCACTTGCTACTGTCGCCAGGGCACATTTTCCGGCTCCTGCCTGGAAGCAGCTAATGTGAGAGAACAAAGATGGCCTCTTCAACCAATGTGTCCACTGCATGTACAACTGCAGATATCCAGAGCCAGTTGTCTCTCAGGGTGTGTGTAGATCCCATGCATGTGATTAGAAACTGTACATCATTCTCATATATTTTGTGGGACATACAATAGACACATACACACAAATGCTTTTTCACTGGCAAAGCAGTTCTTGTGTTCCAAAGGGGAAATCCCAGGAACCATTTTAAAATGCACGCAACACAGAGACTGATCACTTGAATGGTGTTCTCCGGGGGAGGGGAGAAGCACAAGGGGGTGGATGTACAGGCAATCAGCCTTGCCCAGTGGGCCAAACCACAAGCCTGGGAGGGGCATTTGAGATTGGGGAAATGGTGTGGATAAATGAGTTCTCGATCGACAGCAATAGTAGTTTCCTCTCCATTGCACTGCTCCGAAGCTTGAAGAGCAACTTCCCCTAGAAATCTTTCAGCAACTGTTTCATTTAGCACACTTTGCTCCCAAAGCCCATAGGCAAGCAAGGCAAACTAGTTTTGCAGCTTTCTTTGCCTTGCAGGTGTTTTCGTGCTGACCATCCAAATTACTGATGTGATCTGTTGCACTGACTGCTTATTGAATAGCACCCATTGTTAGTTACTATGAGGTTGAAGAGCAACTTCCCCTAGAAATCTTTTAGCAACTGGGCCAGTCAGCAACTGTTTCATTTAGCACTCTTTGCTCCCAAAGCCCATAGGCAAGCAGGGCAAGCTAGTTCTGCAGCTTTCTTTGCCTTGCAGGTGTTTTCGTGCTGACCATCCAAATTACTGATGTGATCTGTTGCACTGACTGCTTATTGAATAGCACCCATTGTTAGTTACTATGAGGGAATCTGCAGAATTACAGAAATACGATTTCCAGGTATGCTACACCATAGCCAGGGTGTGACTTACCCTGTTCAGACAAGATGACAGGAAACACCAGTTTATTTTAGGGAGAATATACGTTTAAAATCTAATTAACATCCCTTGATAGTCTTTAGCAAATGTAAATGGTTTTTCTTCAGTAGAACAGTAACTCCTCTTCCAACATCCATGGCTCGTAAAGTTAAGAGCTTTTTTTTAAAGGCTGTTAGGCAAACCTCTTACCATAAGAGATGTGCAATATAAATTTTCCTTCCTATACTTTGTCAAATCCTGAGTAAGTTTCCACAGAAAATTAATTTAGACCTTTAGAAATTTAAATGGCTTACAGTGATCACCCTGAGGGGAAAAAAGTCTAGAATTGGTTGGAAAATATATCACCCCTCATTTACCCTAGGTTCATATCTTTCCTGTTTTCCCTCTGGGTTTTTTCTTTTCTTTTCTTTTCTGAAAAGGCTGGTTTGGTTACTGCTCAAGGTGCTTTCATGTTACCTTTTTAAAAATTTAGGCAGACTTACCTGTGCTGGGATATGATGAAACACATTTAACATGATGGCGGCCACACTCAAATGTCATGACAAACCTGTTAGTTTGTGACAGGTATGAATGTAGCTTGTGGTTGGTTTCAGGGATGGAGATTTGGCCTGAACCATGGTTTGACCACTATCTACTCAAGGCAAGGGTGAATGTAGCCCTGGCATCTTGCTGGAAAGGGGATCCAATTAAAATGGTCTCTCCATGGAGACTCATGGATTGTACTGCATTCTAGAATGCTTTGGAGGTATTTTAGAATTCCAAGCTTGGCATGTGAAGCTCCTTATAAGAACATAAGAGAAGCCAATGTTGGATCAGGCCAATGGCCCATCTAGTCCAACACTTTGTCTCACAGTGGCCAAAAATACCTGGTGTCATCAGGAGGACCTGGGGCCAGGACACTAGAAGCCCTCCCACTGTACTGTTGCCCCCCCCCCCCAGGCACCAAGAATACAGAGCATTACCTGCCTCAGACTGAGAGTTCCTAACTATACCTTGTGGCTAATAGCCACTGATGGACCTCTGCTCCATATGTTTATCCAGTTCCCTGTTGAAGCTGTCCATGCTTGTAGCCACCACCACCTCCTGTGGCAGTGAATTCCATGTGTTAATCACTCTTTGGGTGAAGAAGTACTTCCTTTTATCTGTTCTAACCCGACCACTCAGCAATTTCATGGAGTGCCCACGAGTTCTTGTATTGTGAGAAAGGGAGAAAAGTACTTCTTTCTTGACCTGCTCTATCCTATGCATAATCTTGAAGTTACCAACAAAGTTGCCCCTCATTGACCCTTGGGGTATAACCAGGCCTCCTAGTTTACCATGGAGCTGTGTGACCTGAAGAGAGCTGGGAGACAGATTTGGGTTATATTGGATCCAACATTACTGCTGGAGAAACAAGTCAATGCAGCTACCAAAAAAACCAAACAAACCACTTTCCTTAAACTCAGTCAAGCACAGAAGATGGCCCCCTGCCTTAACTTGGCCAATGTGGTGGCTGCCTGGATCCACACGATGGTTAACATTGAGACTAGACTATTGTAAAGCACTCTATATAGGTTTCCTGTCAAAATCAAACTTGGAGACTCCAGTTGCTGCAGGAGGAGGGGGAGGAGGGGGGAGGAGGAGCTTGCACAGTTGTCCCATTCTGCATCCACTCCATTGGAAGCCCATCAGTTTTGGAGTTTGGTTCAAGGCACTGGCTGTCACATACGAAATCCCTCATGGCCTTGGTCCCTCCTATCTACAGTACCTCCTTTCCTCTTCACTAATCTGAGTAAAGCCTTCTGCAGTTTGACTGAAGGCTTCCCAGACAGAACCTTTCAATCACAGTCCTCCTCACAATGAGGGAGAAAGACGGGGAGCATACAGACATGAGAACAAACTGCCTTTATATTCATCACAAACAAGCAGATTTGTTATGATGTTTGCATGTGATCTTTCTGGTGACTTGGTGTTACAAGATACCAAAGATTAATTTAATTCATTTGAATTTGCCTCCCCCCTTACTTAATGGGACCGTTTGTGGGAGGGGGTTAAATATTTCTGGTTTTTAAAAATAATGTTAATTTTTTTTAAAAAGTATCCCTTATGTTTTCTATAGAAATCTTAAATATTCACAACACTCTTTTAGCCTTAAAGTACTGCTGTCTTTACACTACTAAACAGATTTAAAGCACGTAAGGTGTGATCTGGAGCAAGTCTCTTTCTAGGAGGAAAGGGGAAAATGGACTGCCGCAAGCACCTTCTTACTTGGCTTTAAAGCAATGACAGGGAAATCCACAGAATTTGGCCTTGAGTTTATCTTGAGTTACTTATCCCTGTTTTTGAAGAAACCCGGAGTCCCAGGTTTTGATTCTGTAGTCTTATCACAGCAACAGGTCCCATGCCAAACTTAGAGCAAAGGTGTGAGCTGTAAGACACCATGGCTCTTAATATATTACTGTTTCCTACACAAGAAAATGGTTGTGTTTTAATGCATAAAATTTAACAGGGCAATATTTGCCATTGATAAAACTTTCAACTTGCCACTGTGTTCCTGTGCTAGAAAGTACACAACACTACCTCCACACATGACAAAATACACCATACAACCTGCACTGACTAAAAAGTTAACCCACAAAGAGGCTCTGGTTCCTACATGTTCTGAGCAGATGTGCATTTGCATGTGACTCAAATTGAATCTGATCAATGGTACAGAAGTAGTAAAGCTTTTGGAGCAATTTCTCCTTTTCACGTGTATTCTAGCCCAATGCTTGTGAACACAAACCCCTCTAAACAATGGTACACTCAAGCCACACATTGTATTCCTTTTAGCTAACTGAATAGATTATCTGCCAATGTCCATCTTGTTTGCAATTGGTTAGTGTTGGAGTTTCAAGTTGCTTACACTTCAGTCATTACAGAGTTAAGTGTTGTTTGTTAGGAAACAGGATGTTACGTTACATAATGTATTCTACGGCGGGAAAGTTTGTGGGAGTTGTTTAGCCTAATGAAGTGACCTGTAACCTTTGTATTGGTCAACTAACAACTTGCTTGTGGAAATGCTTTGATCTAGCATTCATGTATTCACAAAGTTTATGGCTTTTTGTGTGAAGCAGACAGGAAGCTCCCTCTTAGAAGCCCAAAAAAAGATAGATGTAGCCGTTAGCATAGTAGTACTGAAAGTAACTGCAAGTATGTAACCTTTTCATTTTATTTCTTTTATCCAAAGTACCTTACCCATGCTTTATTTTGTTTTGTAGTAAAGATATTTTTCTTTTACTAATGTGACTCTTGTGTTTGCAAAACAATCATCGATCTTGAATCTCAGAATCCCAACAGTTAGCAATTGAACGGATGAATAACAAGGTTTGTAAAGGAGGACACTAAATTTAGAAAAGCTAGAACAGGAGGGGCGAGCCACGATCAGTTCACATACTTTAAGAGCTCCAGTATACGAAGTCAGCATTCCTCTAGATTCTGCAAAAAGCCAATGTGCTTGCTTCTACGCACTCTTTCAAAAGCAAGTTTTACTCATTCTCAAGGGAATTTGAATTTTTCACAATAGAGGGCACCCGAGAACAATAATGTTTAATAAAGCAACTATTTAAGCTTCCACGTTCCAGCTGGTTCGTCTGTTTGCAGCAAAACCAGAAGATTCGCATGGCTCCCTAAAGAATAACCAGTTTATCACAGCAAGCATAACACTTTTGTAGATTTGTTAGCCTAACAACTAATTCATTAGTCTGAAAGGTGCCACAAGCCTCACCAAAATTGGTTATGAGAGTAAAATATGTTTCAGTCAGATAAAGCCAGAGGCGGTTTGTGTATTCCCATTTTTAAATGTGCATTTTACATCCTTCTCATATGTAGACTTGCCTGCTTGGCTGACAATTATCAGGACATGGAGGTGAATGAGAGAAATATAAAGCACTTTAAACCTGCTTCTGCTTTGCAAAAAATCAATATAGAAGATAATCAACTCGGCATATAAGTGAATAAGAAGCAACAGTAATATTAGGGCTCTTTCATCTTTGGCGCAATGTCAGAGTTAAAAGGTCTTGGCTGCTGCTACCAGATGATTTCAGAGGCGTCAAAGTGAATGTGGACTCGCAGAAGCCTTTACTTCACTAGGATGACTACCCACTCCACTACGTTAAGGCCTCCCTACTGTTTCACTGCAAAGCAAATAGATCAGTGAAGCTATTGGCTGCAGACACATGTTTTTCAGGGAATAATTTAAGAACAAGACAGAATAGCAGTGGATTGGATGCCATTTAGTGGTGAGTTCCTCTGCCCAGTTATTTTCTTCAAGCAGCAGAATATCCCTCAAAATGTCACCAATGAAAATAGGGAAACCTATGATGACATTCCAAATCTCATAGCAAGGATCACCCTCTGAACCCCGCTCTGCCCCAATTACATGTGGCTGAAAGTTTTACTCCACCTTCTCTATGCTGTATTCAAGTTCTCTCCAGTTGCCTTCTTGCACTGAGTTGCACATAAAGTATAGGAGCATTTTATTTTTTGGGTGAAAAATATAATAAAACACATATAATTGTCCTACAACATGATGCAGTTCTCTGCAGTTGCCTTCTTCCATTGAATTGCACTTAAAGTATATGAGCATTTTGTTCTTTGGGTGAAAAATGTAAGAAAAGATATATAATTGTCCTACAATCTGATGCCAACAGTTCAACATATGTAGCAGTCATGTGAACTGGCAGGCTGTCCACTGTATGACGCCTTAAGGTTCACGCACATGCATTGACACTAGAGATGACGCATGGGCTCCCGTCTTGGAGATTTAACATCTGCAGATTCTAGTTGAACAAGCTGAATCCTGAAGAATGACAAGTCTAGCAACCCACAGTAAAAATTTTAACAAGACATCCACCAAGGGAAAAATGGGAACGAAATAACTAACAGGAAAAAGAGATCAGTTGGAACCCATGGAGCAACCCAGAATGCTTACAGAAGACAATCCGCACATCAGATACCCATATGGCTTCATACAATCCCCAACAGCATTGCAAAGTGGACAAGGATGTATGTTCCCATCTGTCATGGGGAAGAATATGCATGTATATCCATTTACTCTCTAGAGTCAATGCATGGCTATTGGCCACAGGTGTAGTTGTATGTAATACATGAGTATGTATGAGCCCATCTGCCCACTGAGATCTTCCCAGGGCATCTGTGTGTCATCTTCAAAGTTCACTAGATCTGCCATGCTCAGAAAAGCTTGCCCAGCTATGGCAGCAGCTGTTCTGGTCAAGAGGATACCCACTTCAGCACGTTTCCAAAAGTACTGCAAAACCTTCTTTTCCTAGGCGGCTTTGAAATTGAACTGACTTGAAATAAAGTGGTCTGGTTGAGAGGGCAGGCAAATGACGTGAGGTCAGGATTTTTCTTTATGGTCCTTCTGTGTTTATAATTTTAAAATGTGCTCATGCAGTGTGGCTTACACCTGCATTGGCAAGCCACCTTGAGAAATCATTTGATTGTAAGAAAGACAAGGTATAAATATTTCAGTAAAATAAAATAAAGACAGGTGTGACAGAAAGACTTGTGTGAGAAATCTTACATTGTTCAAGAAAGTTTACATTGTTCAGTCAAAGAAAACTCATTAATGAAAACCAGTTTACACTCATATTGTTCTGTAGTTAAATCTACTTAACATTTAATTTTCCTTGGAACACAAGTCTTTCTTCTTAATACACAAATTTGTTAACAATAGGTCAAAACCCCAGCCCTATGGTATTTTGTTTCAAAATAAACATGTTCTCACATAAATACTTCAAGACTGAAAGTGTGAGTATCAAAAAGTACTTATCAGCTATGATTTGGGAATGCAAAATTTTGGTTCATCTGCTGTCTACATCACACACAGTACCTCTCCTTTCAATCGCATCAAGACTGTTAGCCCCAGAAATCTAGCTTAGTGCTTAATATATTGCACAGTGAGATGTGCTTGTGATATCTTATTTTTGGTGTCTAAGCATTGGCATAGAGACCACCTTGATTACATGCTGTGAGCAGATTTCCCAGTCCTACATATACAGACAACTCTTGAAATTACTATACTGCTACTCAGTATCCCATACCCACAGCAGTTTCCTTAGTGAACATAAACATGGTGTGTGTCTTGTTTTTTACAGGTTCATATAGCTTGATTTGCTGAAGCATCTAAACATATGGTTCACGTGGCTTGAAACATCTTAACGTATTTGCTCTACAGGCTCTTTCTACCTTGCCCCCCTTGGTCTCTGCTTGTGATAATGTTCCTGAGCACATGGAGAGAGCTCCACATGCACAGACTCCATGGCAACTAGATTCAAGTCCAGTAGCACCTTATAGACCAACAAGGTTTGTGGGGTATGAGCTTTCAAGAGTCAAAACTCCCTTTGTCAGACTCTACACTATGCAAATGTACATACCCTATGAACAATTCCGATGAATGTTGGTAGCCAACTTGCAGGAATGGCTTGGTAGCCAAACTTGCTGCTACAATCCCACTCCTTGTCCATTCTGAAAGGAATACCATGGTTATGGAAAGGGCTGGACTATACTAGATACCATTTTATTATTTCATCCATATCTTGCCCTTTGTCAATAAGCTTGAAACAGAATCCAACCCAATCTACTAATATAAGATGTAGGACACCTTGCTTCTTACACAGTACTGGTTTACAGTGAAGGCGCTTGGACTACCAGTCTGGTCAAGGCATACTGGAAGGGGTCAAAGAAAGGGGCCATGGCTCGGCTGTGGCGCATCTGCTTTGCAGGTTCAATCCCTGGCATCTCCAGTTACAAGTATCAAGCAGTAGGTGATGTGAAAGACCCCTTCTGAGACCCTGAAGAGCCACTGTTTGTCAGAGTAGAGAATACTGACCTTGATAGACCAATCGTAGGATTCGCTATGAGGCAGTTTCATGTGTTCGGATATTTAGCTTCCTCAGTAACTGCCCCTTTGCCTCGCTAAGAGATTTTCCAAGCCCATGTTCTGAGAGCTTGTCTTCAAAGGATTATTATTTTATTATTTGGGAATAATAGAGAATTTCACCAGTGTGGCTTTTACCATAATATCTGAAGAGAAGGCGCACCTGAGGAAGTTTCCTTTCTGTGAACTCCCTAAAGATCTAGGTCTCGCCAAGTGTCAGCCCGGCAATCCTACTATGGAGGCCTACCTCCTAATGAGAACCAGGCTGCAAGGTAACTGGACTCAGAGTCTGAAACACAGTAGATGTTCCTAAGCTTTTGCCTTGCCTTTCCCCCCTTTCTGATAAAGCAGTCTCACTTCTCCAATCTCTCCTGAGGCTGGCCCAATTCTGGCAGTGTTCCCTCTATACCAATAGTACACAGAGACACCACAGGTGCAGCTTTCCCTGACATGGAAAAACAGTGATAAGGAAGACTCCCCCTGTGGAATACCAGATCTTTCTTTCCCTCTATTTTCTTCTTTATTTTAACCATTCTCTCTCTCTCTCTTTCCCCCTCTTCCTCTGTAATCCAAGACTTTGACAAAAGGGCACTCTGACTCTCTTTTTAAAGGACAAGATCTGACTCAGGCTAATGAAAATGTTGTTCCTTTGGTCTGACTCATTTCTTTGATCTAATATTAACTAAACGATTTCTGACAAATGACAAATGTAAGGAACTGGTTCAAGTCAAGCCCTCCAAACGTCCTGGTTTGATCCATTTCTTATTGCTGAAATGCCGTCATTTCCAAAGGTGGCATATGCACCTCCGCGATGGCTTCTTTCTTCTTCCATCTTGAAAGGAGTAGACCGTCAGTCTACCGAAACAGCGTTGCTACCGAAACAGCCACACCAAAGGGCGATGAGTAGGCATTGGCTAGGCCTTGCAGGCCGAGCACCACATAACGACATCCTTTTTGCAGCACTTTGCCCACATTCTGGATAAGCAGAAAGACAAATAAGAGCCATTAAGGAACAGGAAAGCACTTCTATTTAACAAGGGTTTCCACAGCAGTAAGAAAAAGGGGTTGGCTGAGGCTGAATTCTCACAGTACCTTTTGATCATGCAGGACAGAAAGGCCTCTGTGTAGTGCCACAGAGTACTGCATGAAGCTGACTGGATGATTAATTCTTGCACTGTAACATTATTATACTTGGGTTAGACACAGGCTAGCCTACCTCAGAGGGTTATTCTGACAATGAAATTGCAGTGAGGGACCATAATAGCAGGATAAAAATACAATATAGTTACTACATGTCAGATCCATACCATGTGAATATAATTTTCTGATATCAGAATTGTTTTACATCTTTGTTTTCCATGCAATTCCCTTACAGGAGACACTTTCCATTTTACTTTATTTTTAGCTCTTTTACCCGGTTCTGTATCTCAAAGGACCCTCATAGGGGCTTACAAATTCAAACAGATTACAATAAATACAGTAAAAGCAATTATCAAAGCCAGCTCAAAACATCGATTAACTGACCCATTCCCAGAAGTATCTTCAAGAAGCACATTTTTATGACTAATTTAATATTCACAACACGAAACAAAAAATTACTACAAGATGACATCCCATACCAAAATGTTACAATAGCTTTGTCCTCTTCCTAGGGGGAACACTTGGATATTCGCTCATGAAATAACTACCAGTTAAAAAAAACAAATTAAAAGTGAGAGTGTTGGAATGATACTGAAATTGACTGCTAAAAACTGCAAACGTCACTCATGGTGGTTGTTTGGCACCTCACTCTTTGCTTATCACAGCCACTTTTTGCTTTTCACAGTAAAGAGAAGCAGGAGGGACAATGAGGGGGAGAGAGAGATACTCAACAGATAAACTGATGGTGGCTTCTTCCAACCAGAGGAGATAATATATATATTGCAGATGAACTCAAGCTAATCAGAATGTTGTTCCTTTGGTCTGACTCATTCTTTGATCTAATATTAACTAAACGATTTCTGACAAATGTAAGTCAAGTCAAGCTGGTTCAAGCTGATGGTGGCTTCTTCCAACCAGAGGAGATAATATATATTGCAGCTGAACAGCACCATCAGCGTTTTTATACACAGTGCTTACAATATACATCAATCATTATGGTATTGTCTTTGGCTCAGGGAGGGTTTCCTTGATTCTGTACAGGCAGAAGTGGGTCCTCTTTGCTTGCCATTTTGTTCTCTGACACCTTCAGACTGGGGGGTGGTTACCTTGCTCACCTTCTCTTAGCAACAAGCAGTGCACCTGAAGGAAGCAGGGGAAATACTTTGCTTCTTTGCTGCTGTGGGGGTGAGAGGGAATAGAGGGAGACACTTTCCTCTCCAGTGAAAGGCAGGGCCAAATCAGATGAGATGTGACAGATAAGAAGAGCCCTGCTGGATCAGACCAATAGTCCATCTAGTCCAGCATTTTGTCTCACACAGTGGCCAAACAGTTCCTCTGAAGGGCCAACAACATGATGTTGCTTCCTAGCTCTGGGATTCAGGGGATTACTGCCTGAATATGGAGGTTCCCCTTAGTCACCATGGCTAGAAGCCATTGGCAGACATCCTCCATGAATCTATCTAATCCCCTTTTAAAGCTGTTCATTCCTGTGGCCATCACTACATCCTCTGGCAGGAAATTCCACAGTTTAATCACTCGCTATATAAAGCAGTATTTCCTTTTGGTTGTCCTGAACCTACTGCACACCAGCTTAATTGGAACTCGAGTTCCAGTATTTTGGGGAAATGAGAATTTCTTTGTCAATTCTCTCCACCCCATGCATAATTTTATAAACCTCTATCATGTTCCCCTCCCTCTTAGTCATCTCTTTTCTAAACTGAAAAGTCCCAGACTCTTCCACTTTTCCTCATAAAGAAGGTGCAGGTGTGTGTGGGGGGGTGTCTCCTGGTTTTGGGTGCTCCTCTCCACCACCACCCAATTACCCTCCCAAACAGGCAAGAAGCTGGAAATAAACGTGACATGCCTATGTGACCCAGAAGTTACATAGGCATGTCAGGGATCTTGGGGTGGGGCAAAACTATATGGTAGAAGTTTACCCCAAAACCAGAGCATCGCCCCCCAATGTCCCTGCTTCATTTCCAGGTTGTGTAGGCACATTGTGTTTATTTTCAGCATTCCTCCCCACTCCCGATAAGTTCATACACCCCATTCCCTGCTGGCAGGTCCAAGGGACCTGGGGACCCTAGAAGGTCCTCCAACCCCCTAATCACATTGGTTGCCCTCCTCTGTACTCTATGTTGAGGAAAGATCCGAGATCTCTATATAAGATACCAGTGACAAAGCTCCACGTTTTCTCAAAAGCTTTAATTTTATTTAAAAAGAGCTACAGAGCGTTGGATCATGGCTGCAGTGAGAAGATAGGTATACTTTTGAATCCCAGGCCTAAAGGGCAGTCCGCATATTTTTATCTCAGTATCCTTCCATTCCCATGTAAAGAAGGGGCAGGCTGGCGATCTGTTTCTAAAGCGAAATGGAGAATGTTTGTAGGCAAGGGGAGCCAAGCCCTCCCTGGCACCCCTTCCCTGTGACCTTGCTGTATTTGATTGGTTGGTTGCAGTATTTTGCTTCTAGCTCAAGTCCAAAACTGGAAGTCAGCTGACCACAGCCTGGTATGGCGAAGCCAGAGGTCAGCTCTCCTTACCTGCGAGCTCCAGGCCCCCCCTGCACACATTTCACTTGAGAAGTCTAGCAAAGAAAGACAAAAGCCCTCCTGTCTCTACTCTGCCAGTGGGATTTTCACAACCTCCAAAATAGTGACACTTTTAACTACTGGCCTGAAATTTGGCCAAGACAGGAAAGAAAAGGTTTCCCAGTCGGGAATGTGCTTCTCACTGAAACCAATGGAAATAAAAAGAAAGATAAATGCTGGTAAAGAATGGAAACGAATGAAGGCGATAAGGAACACATGAACATGAAAACTAGAGAGTTGGTGAACAAAGTCACAAATGCAATGTATGTGGATAGCACCACCTAAACAAATCCATAAAGAATGAAAAGCCCGTGACCTGGACCCGGTTTATTCATTCTCTGACATGGTTGTTGCACTGGCGCTGCAAATACTTGGCACTGAAGGCACTTGGAATGAAACTCTCCTCAACCCTAGCCATTTCCTTTCCTCTAGGTTGCCTCAGGGCTGTATTATACAACTTAACTGTCTGTTTCGATTGGCCATGGGCCAGATCATCACAGCAGATTTTGATTAGAGCTCCCTTGTTGATCTTTGCGTGAGTTAGAAAGATGAAGAAACAACACACTCCTGCAGAGAGAACTGATGGAGGGGGGAGTAATTCAAGGGAGGGATAGGCAAGTACATTTTTCAATATGGCCAGGCCATCTGTTGAACAAGAGACTGCATCACACCGACATGTTTGTTGTACGATAACTGCAGCTCTTATCTTATGATAAATATTCCCCCTTGACATCAGCTAACGGGGATGGAGGTTTCTGAGCATAAACATGCAGTGCCTGACTTCCGAGGCACGCTGATCATATGATCATCCCTTGGTAACAACTTCTGGAATGGGTTCGTAGGAATGGGTTCCAATAATGCACAGCAAAGGTAAAAACCTATATCATAGCTCAGACTTCTTGGGCTATTGTCTTCATGTGTTAAAAAGACAGTGTTAAAAAGGAAGAGACAAGATATGAAGGAAGCTTCAGGCAATCATGTGATGCACAGATGACAGCTGGTGTGGTGTAATTGTGAAGGCTAGGATCTGGGAGACACAGGACTGAATCCCTACTTTGACATGAAAGCTTCTTGGGTGACCTGGGGCCAGTTTGTCTCAGTCTGACCTACCACACAGGATTGTCGTGAGTATAAAAGTGGAGGAAACAATGATGTACACCACCCTGAGTTCTCTGAAGGAAAGATGGGATGAAATTGTCATGCTGATAAAATGGGTGGTTGGATGATTCCCAGTCCTTATTCTAAAAGGGATATTACCAAATATTTTCAAAAGAATTTGCCTAGGAATGAAGAGTCACATCCTGGATTTCCTACAGCCATCTTGCATTCAGCCAAACGGACTGGATAGAAGTGTTGGCTTCTTAGGGCACTGTCAATCAATGTCTTCAAGGTCCCTTTCCTTTCCCATTAACCTTCCAATTGACTGAAGGGCTTACTTACAGCCTGATCCCAGGACCTGCTGTGCTGTGCAAATGAGCAATTCAAATGGGATACACCAATGATTGCACCCAGCACACCTCCGTAACCAGGGTATTATGCCAAATATCAAGGGATGTTCAGTTATTCTTGCAGACTAAACACACCTATACATAGAATCATGAGGTCACATGCACAAGATGCAGATCTCCTGTTCAGTGCTTCCCCTTTGGCATGGAAGAGAAAGGTATAAAACCTGCAGGCTGGCACTCTCTTATCCACAGCCATTGGTCATGGAAATGGCACTTATCACCAGATCTCCTCCCTGACCTTGGGAACATTACATCACATCATTTGACTTGGCAGAGATGGTACAATAAAACGTTTGTACCTTGGCCAGAACAATGGAACCCTCATCTCAGCAAGGACCAAAGCCCTTCCCAAAACAGATACACAACACTCCCAGCCCCCCACTTGAGCTTAAACCCTCTATACAATGCAGCAGTATTTGTAAGGCAGGATGTGACTCTCTCACCAAGAGTTGTAGCAAAAGGCTGCAGATTGAGATCAAACACAAAACTCGCTTTTGTTGGCTGTGCCTGCTGAAATCAGATGGAGTTGGTCAACAGCCCTACAGCTAATTCATATAAGATACAAGACTTCACACACATCTAGATATTTATTACACAGTGGCTTGAATCACAACTTCCTTTCCTGCCTGTAGAATCCACTTCCACCCATTGAAACTGTGTGTGTGTGTGTTCTGGCAATTCCACTGCAGAGCACTGCTTCACACACGCATCCACACTGTCCCCAGGGGTCCACTGAC